GTCCCGCAGTACCTCCCAGGACCTCCGTGTCGCATTCGCCAACGTGTGCAGCCTAATGAACAAACGTGACGAACTGTGCCGCTTCGCTGTCTCGGAGCGGCCGGACATTTTAGGACTTGCAGAGACATGGCTGAACTCCGACATCATACCCCAAGAAGTCGTGTTGTCAGGATACTCTTGTTTCCGATGTGACCGAAAAGCAAAGGCTCACGGTGGTGTTCTGTTGTACATAAAATCGTCACTATCTGGCAAACTTATCAGTACCTATCGAAGCGAGGATAGTTTATGCGAGCAATTGTGGTGCACAATCCGTCTCAGGCGCGCAGAACTAATTGTGGGGGTTATCTACCGGAGCCCATTAAACCGTTGCTGTGATTGGATACCACATGTACAGAAGCACATGAGCCGCCCTCAGTTCTTACTGATGGGGGATCTAAATTTACCTAAGATAATTTGGCCAGATGTTCGACTTCTTCCCGGTCATGGCAACGTTGAGGCTCAATTCGCTAAAATGACTATTGAAATTGGGGCAACGCAACATGTCATCCAACCGACGCGCGTAACTCCGTACTCGGCATCTTGTCTGGACCTAATGTTTACGAGCTGCGAGCAAAAGCTAAAAGAGATCAGAGTCATCGAACCTCTGGCGAACAGTGACCACTGCTCTATTGTAGCAAGCTTAGAACTGTCGTTACCATATTACAATCAACAGAAGCCGACATTCAACTATTGGAAGACGGACTTCAACGGACTCGCCCAAGCCGCAAGTTAGACTGATTGGACACTACCACATGATGCGTCACTTGAGGCGTGGTGGTCATTAATAAAGGGGAAGCTTAACTCGCTCTGTACTCGGTTCGTTCCCCTTAAGTATCCAAAAATCGGACCTGTCAAACCGCATTGGTTTGATAGGGAATACAGACAGTTAGCGCGACGACGTCGTAAACTTTGGGATAGATACATCAGCTCGGGTTGTGATGAAGATTACGCGGTGTACAGGAAACAGCGTAACTTATGTAACGCCGCAAAGATCAAGAAACGCCGGCAGTTCGAAGAGGAGCTAGCATCCTCGGCCACAACTGCACCCAAGCGAATATTTGCCTACTTGAAACGTCAACTGAAACCTGGAGACGACCTGCCGGTCTTAGAGAGCTTGGACGGGAAGACACTCATTTCAAGCGCGGAGCGCGCGGACTCCTTGGCTACGCACTTCCTCACTGTATTTTCCAGTAAACCGGCGGCGGTTTCAGTACCGGTACAGGTTGCGCCAGTCTTGCTCAACAGCCTACAATGTGATGCAGTCGAAGTACATCAGCTACTCGTCAACCTCAATGGTGCAAAGCCCCCCGGGCCAGACGGACTTCACCCACTAATACTCAAGTCCCTATCGATTATCATCTCACCAGTTGTGACAAACCTTTTCAATAGATCGCTCTCTGAAGGATCCGTCCCGAACGACTGGAAATGCTCGATAGTTAAACCGCTTCCCAAGGGTGGTGATCCGAGTAAAATAGAGAACTATAGACCGATCTGTTTGACTTCGGTATTATCCAAAGTTCTCGAGAAGGTTGTGAAAAAGTGTCTGCTGTCGTTCTTCGAATCGATGGACATATTGACGCCAGCGCAACACGGCTTTACGAAAGGGCGATCCTGCATCACCAACTTGATGTACGCAAACCACCAGTGGGTTCGAGCTCTCAATGAACAGAAGGATGTTGACGTGGTGTACATCGACTTTAGTAAGGCGTTTGACAGAGTGAACCACGAGGTACTCCTTCGTAAACTGAGGACATACGGAATCGGTGACACGTTACTTCAGTGGATACAAGAGTTTATTGTGGGACGAAGGTTTAGAGTACAGGTCAATGACTATCTGACAGAATGGTTCCCATCGACCAGTGGCGTGCCTCAAGGAACTGTACTTGGGCCAGCATTATTTTTTATTCATATCAACGATCTTCCGCAGCAGCTCCAGTCACCATGTGTCCTGTTTGCAGATGATTTGAAAATCTGGAGGATCATTGAAAACCAGGACGACTGCGCTCGCCTCCAGCATGACTTAGAGCGACTGTCAACGTGGTCCACTGAAATGCAACTCCCTCTTAACGCAAGCAAGTCGGAGTTCATTAGTATCACCAGACGTCCAGCCACTCGATCATACACCTTGGACGGCCAGTTGCTCCATCCCAACACATCTGTCAGAGACTTAGGAGTTCTCTCACGACATGATTTAAGATCACTAGCAAATACAGAGAAATTGTACCGTTCGGGACTTCGTATGCTCTGGGCATTACGACGCAGTTTCTCCACATGGTCCGAAGAAATCGTCCCTCGTCTATTCACCTCGCTCATTAGACCAATCCTTGAATACGGTGCCCCAGCTTACCATCCGATAACCCAATGGGAAACTGAAAAACTGGAGAAAATACAGCATATCGCAACTAGAATGATACCAAGTCTACGAAAGCTTCCATATGAAAAACGTTGTGAAAAACTCGGACTCTACACACTATCCTATCGCCGAGTAAGAATTGATCTTATTATGACCCATCGAGTACTACACTTGAATCACTTCCCCATACTGCGGCCAACATTTCACCTGCTGGAACCCTGTAACACCCGGGGACATCGTTACAAACTCAGGGTCCCCAGCATGAACAAAGTATCACATCAGCTTTGTATCGAACGACGAATCGTAAACTTATGGAATACACTACCAGAAGGATTAATAGAGGCCGATTCTGTGAAGTGTTTTAAAACCCGTATCGACGATTATTTTGGAAACCTGTGCTTTTGTGAAACGATGCACATACAGTGCCAAAAGAAGACATTGTATGTCCGGAAATAATAACGCTAGTACAAATTTCTAACCGAACACGGATAAACGATTAATGGACCAGACACAACTGCTGATAATTCACAAGTAAATTTTGATTTTTCGTAATTCGATAGAGTTGTACAGAAACCTTTCTACTTGCTCTTAAATACAGTCTCAGTCTCAATAAATTATTTTTTTCTTCTGCATAGTAGCCCACAGGTAGCTTACCGAAGCGATGCACCTCCGTTACCGGTAGCTCAGCTGGCTTGCATTTGTTGCATATTATTCCCTTTTTCCTTTATGTATTGCGGCACAATAGCTGAGGTGTTTCGCACTTCTAGCCAACGTGTATAGTGTGTGTGTGTGATCGTTCCGTAAATGCGCGTGTCGTTGAGTTTCACATCGTAATCAATCTCTCTGTCCAGCTCCAGTGGTTCGTCGGATGCATTTTGGGCTGTCAGCCTGGTGGGCGTAACTGCAAGTCTACCGATTATCATCCACGTTGTTCGCGAAATGATTATAATATCAAACGCTGTATCCAACTACCAAGATACCGGAACATCATTGAGGTTTACTGTCAAATACCTTCGCTTACATGAAAAATCTGCTCGAATGGTCCTTGTTCTCACTCCGCAAAACCGCATCCTTTGGAATTTGGAGTTCGCGCAAAACCTTGGGTTGTGCACTGTGCTGGAATTATTCGTCGCATGTTAGTGCGTTGCTTTGTGACCAATACGCTTTAGCTTCTGACACTGATGGTTTTTGTAGCTACAGAATCGTGAAAAATGCCATCTGCCACGGTTCCGGAATGCAGTCAGGGGCTTGTGGTTTGGTACATTATGTCTCTCATTTTGGCTTTGAACAGCCGTGAGGCAAATTTGTGGTTCCATCCATAGGCCAGCGTTTTCAATCATTTTGGTATCACGTTACAAGTTGATCAATCTCTGACATTCAGACGCGATCCCTTGTAATGTCAACTGGAGTTCCTGCTCCAACTTGTGAAGGGTAAGTGTTTTCAGATCACCATCGGTATGCGATTGAAGACTGCAAACAAATACCAGGCTTTTGAACTGATCGGCTGTCATGGATCCCAGTTTGAACCGTGCACATTCTCTGTTCACCATTCAGGCGTGTGTGACAAAATCATGAGTATCGCGTTTGACCAGTTTTAAACAATCATACCGGATGCTGAACAACGATGACTGATCACCGAAAAGTTTCGTCAGGGTTTTCACAATTTCATCGAAACTGAAGTCTCTCGCATTCATTGGCAACACGAAATTTGTGTATCGTTCGAGTTCAACTGCACCAAGTTTTCTCAACAACAACCGAACTTTCCAAGCATCATCTTGGTTAGTCAATTCCACACGAAAAATATCTTCGTATTTTTGGAACTACCAGTCGAATGTTACTCCACGCAGTCCATCGAAAACAAACTCTGTAATTGATGCCACAATGGCGTCAACGTATGGTCGTGCAAATGTTGCTGTGGTTTCGGTTTGGATGCTCAGTTCCCGTGGAAGTAAGTCGATCTATTGCTGCTAAGATTACCCAAAATGCAACTGCTGCTGATAAAATAGAGTCTGCTTTCGCTCAAACGAGATTGACATGTTTGTTCAAAACGCCGTCGCCAGGAAATGTTGTGTCGCAGCTGACTCCTTCACCCCATGACCGCAAGTAAACTCCAAAGACGTGTCGAGAAAGAATCCTATGCATTGAATCAGATCTGTTTAAATAGTTTTAAGAATGAGCTGAAAGAAAGTTACTAAAAGACATTTCAGCCAACCATATTGCTAAACGCATGCAAGCAAAACGAAGCCAATGAAGAGTGATCACCAGAGGAGCCATTAAGAGACACACACGAACGAAAAGATAGTGTTAGCAGCCATTGAGATCCGAAAGCAAAAATAGTGACCACAAGCAGCCAATAAAATTAGCGGAATGATGTGTTTAAACAAATGTTACTTACATCGATAGCTGAAGGAAACAAACCAGGAACTAAGAATGTTTTCCAAAATATGTATGTGCAATAACTGTTTCCCTAACACGTGGCGGACGTCGCGCAACCGTACCCGACGAAGTGTCCGAATAGCTCAATGCCAAAGTATTCTAAATGCGAAGAGATCTTGTAGAACAATGGATTTAAGCTTAATTGATCGTTTCATGGTGGGAGAAGAGGAAGTCACGCAGAGGATGAAAGACCGAATTTAATGGGCAAATTGCATAACAAATATCAAATGCTTTTCAAATCCCACAAAAGTTCCACTTTACGAGATTGATGGGTGGTCAGTGAGGAGATCACTATGATGCACACTCGGAATCAGTTGCTCAGTCGGAGCTACCATCGGAATCTCCATCTTCGTTGTCCGAAGTGATCTGATTGCATGTCTCGGGCAGCAGCCCAGACAAGTATTCCACCCTCTCGATCGTTTCATTTGACCGACCAGAACGTTTCTTTTTAGCGTTTTTTGCCAAGTCGTTATTCACTTTGTCCATCCACTGCCCCATTGGCCAAAGGCGGGCGATCGAGCTATCTGGACACACAGATGCAAGTAGGCAATGTTCCCTGCTGAATGCGAGATTAAGACAGTCCCCGCCTGAACGCTCGGTGTCTGAGTGATGCCCAATTACACCTAGTAGGCCATTTGGACGCACGGTCGCGACGCTGGAAATGAAAATGAAAACAGTTGTTTTACCACAAGCAGCTGATCGTTTGTTTGCTAGAGGTAGGGAAACCGTACATGTTCGAGCCGGTGACTCACGGTAACGAAAAAAGAATGTACAACGAACTTCACTATTTGTGATGAGAAAGCGGTAGAACAGAGCGTACCGATGCTCTCTGGTGGATGAATTAGCGGAATAGTGAAATGCGTTGGTCTCCGTCCATGAACACAGTAGGTGACTTCTTAAAAGATAACAGTAAAATTATTTTTTCTATCCAGTAAGTTGATTAAGTAAGCGACATCAGCATTTCGTTACATTTGTCGCAGATTTCGCAGGTCACCGTCGGCTTTAGTCACCTACCGCGTTGGTTAGCATAGTGGGTACGATTATCTACTTTTGCATTTACACTGTGATCGGTTCCCTACAAATCGATGGGAGCCTCTCTTCTTTCCAGACTTGTTCGAACAGGTAAGCCTGTGTTTTGCAGAGGACCTGACTACCATCCTTAAACAGTGCGCTCTTAAGGGATTCCGGAATAGCAGTGTGAAAACAATTGGGGGCTGTGATCGCGTTTCGGATCTCAGCCTCTGATGGAACCTATAAATTAACCGTCCATGGCTCAGCCTGCACCACCTAAGAAGGAAGAGATCCAGGATCAAGGGTCCAACAGAATTATTTTCGAAAACGCTCCCCCGAAGTAGCCAGATGGCGCTCCCTATTGTGACGTAGAGCACTCTTGTTATCTCTCATTGTTTCACTGAGGCATAGGTTCCTGAGACAAGTGGTGCGGATCAGTCAGATTTTGCGATAATTACCTATTGCTCCCGCTTCCTCCACTTCTTGAGTCCTACTGGCCCACTAAGCTTTATCTCGCACCTAATAGTTCGTCTGGTCCCAATGTACCCAGAGGCAGGAGGGAGTGCTATTCTAGATACCAGCGGATTCATCGACACGTGTGGTGACGGATGCGCCAAGGGAAAAATTAATCTACCAAATGATAAAACGGGAAGGACATCCAGCTAAATAAGATGCAATTGGCACCAGAAATTGTTCTCGTGTGGGCTGTAGCATTATGTGTGCGAGGCCGCGATTTGGGACCAAAGGTCGTGCTCTTGTTAAACAGGTCGAGCAAGCTGATTGCGACCAGCATGACAGACAGAAAAGTAATTCCGAACCCATCAGCTGGTATGATGAAGACATAATGTGAGTTTCAAAGGGATGATTGCCACGCAGCACTTTCCACAACGTCTACTGGCTCGCTAGGTCTAGTTATAATGAATTCCACCGTAAACAGAATGGACTGCAGTGACCGCGCGGCCTACAGTGTATCTACTCTAGCGTGCCGTTTCGAAACTTGGCCCATCCGATCGAGAGATATAAGGAGGCTAATTATGCTCGACTACCGGTGCGTTCGCAACATAGCTTAAACCTGGGGGAAATACCATATGAACAATGAGCGTGTTCACGGTCTTGTTATTGGTAAAGGAAGAGCAAGTGAACTGCTCAACAACATTGATTCGTGCACCACGTTCCGATGGCAGAGCCAAGTGTCACGTTTACCAGCACACCAACTTCAGCGAACTGCGTTGTTCGCGAGACAGGGATATGGCAGAAAGAAGAAGGGAGATCAAGCGCGATGGCTTGGTCAAGAGGAATGAAGGCTCTGATTTCCAACTTGCACTCAGTTAGATTATCTCGACTCCCTGGTTAACGGCCAAAAGAAGATGAACTTGTTTGTTTGGAGACACTTGTTCACATGACCAGGAGAAGACAATGCGTTAGGAGACACTTTTTCCCCGCATTCCCGCTAAGCACCCTTTCAAAAAACGAAGCACAATATTTGTTTTGGGACTGCGACACAACTGCTGTTTCTCAACCAAAATGTGGAATGATGGGGATAAAGTTAGAAGGTCTAGCGGGGCGGAAAATCGACCGAAATTTCGGCTAGATAGGGTTCCCGAGCCTCGATTTGTGCTTGGCTCCAATTTATCGGATAGCATAATTCAATTGGGCAACTATGACCCAGGCAGTGAAGTGCGGTGCACCCAGTTACCACGAAAGATACCAGTTAGAACAATAAGGAATAATAATGGTGTGGGAAAGTAAAGCACAGAAACTCTCACATCGACGAAATTTGCTTGTGCCTGTGTTGGACTGTCTACAGCATACACGAGTTGGCCTTGGACAGTTGTTCATTGGCTTTTGTCTCCGGTCGTTTTCGACTCGTATTTCAATTTCGACTATGGATGTGTGGCGATGAGTCGCCTTTTTTCTGAACGCATGCCCCTGATGGATGAACTTGTAAGTTCTTTTCAGAGCTGCTTTGTATATCGATAAGTAGGGCATTTATGTTTTCAGGGGTCCCGCCGTGCAATTTGATGGAAAAATCCGTCGACCTTTCTCACGCTGTTGAAAAATGCCACCTTCTTGTACATTATCAACACTGTTATTAATTCTCTACCCCATCCGCTTTTATATTCTTTATTTCATTGTTGGCCATGACTGGGTTGATCCCCCGAGGAAATGGATTGGAACTTACAAGCTAAGAAGCGCACCCATGCAAAGCGCATTGCCATACACTCACTGTCATGTAATAAAAGTGACTGACTCAAAAAAACGGTCGATGATACGGGCTAGATGGTTTGAGCGTCCATACTAGATACACACAGAAACAGTCTTAAAGATGAGTTAAATAGGCGATGGCTTAACTACTTTAAACCCACACTGACAGATGGCCAGATGGGGCATGGTGTGCGGGTGAAACGTTTTAAGGGAATACCATGCATGGAGGCACGCAACCTGGAGACGGTTTCACGGCCAGCAGTATTACTTCACTTGCACATTTGGATTTATTACAATTATTAGTACCTTCGCAATCATTCTGAAAGATCAACCCGATCAGTCAGCCCCCAAATAGTTTGGGAACAGATCTGAAAGACTCGAAAGGTGATCACTTCCATGAAGTTTCGCTACACACAAGAGCAGACCAATCAGGTGGACTGCGTCTTGCACTATTGAGGAATACACTGCTTAGTTATTTATCGTTATCCAAAGCAGCACACCGGAAACGTGGATTGATGCTTCTATGCCATACAGCCATGCAAACATGGGAGGCAAAGATCATAAAAAGAGATTAAAAGCCCGTGTGGAAATTGGTTGGTCCGAAAAAAAGATTAGGCAGTAAGGCGCTTACACTTTACGAACAACGTATGACTACATGCAGTTGCGACAGCATACTTGAAGCTTTTGCTGCCCACGTTATAAACAATCGTGTTGAGAAGATAAGTCGAAATCAGACATGCTTAAATTGGCTAAGAGAGGGTAGCAAACGCGTTAGTACCGCAAGCTGCGAGTGGGTGGTATGGACTTCAAAATGGAAGGCCATACGAACCAAAAGCACTGGATTAAGTTGTCATCGACCTCATTTTCCACCACCAAGTAAAGGTTTGCTCCATGGGGTCTCATGTCACGCAATGTCATGCAAAGTATGCAGCCTAAGAGATGCTGTCTGTTGCTCTAAAGAATACCCTGCACCGTGCAGCGTTCAAATACGTGTAACATCCCTTAGGACACGCTGGTACAAGTTTACAGCAGTAACGCTCCGTGGGCAACGAAGATTTAAAATAAAAAGGTGCCTTGATGGGTCCGTTTGCAACTCTAAACATTCCATTTCTTGGAATTGTACTTCCATGTAACTTAACACTAGGAAAAGGCCATTAACCCACCACATGATCCACATGCAGACGACGACAACATGACCTCTAATCATTACCACGACGATGCGTCAAAGCACGTGACAACCACAGGCGACTGAAAAACCACTTTATCTCACACCCACCCACAAAGCGGTCATATTTTGTCGCATCACACACAACTGGACGACCGGATAACTGACACGCACGCATCCATCCACGTGCTCAGGGCTCGATGCGGCCATCACCGCAACCGACCGCAATCTGACTTGGACTCAAAGCCATTATACAAGCACATGCGATAAGTCTCTTTTGTATGTATCAGTATTATTTGTGCAATATTATCATGTATATTAGTGTCATATGTTTTGTAAGTTGTCTCGAGTTAAACAGCACTAATAATCGGTGACCCCACGCAAGGCTGCACTACCCAGATTTTTACTGTATTTTTTATCTGTCACTATGTCTATACCAGTACACCAATCTGATTTCACACATTCCTCACTACCAAACATCAACACAGTTTCTGTGAATTTCCTGCCTTTATGGCACCATGACAAACACATAGGGTCTACTCAGGTCCGTGCACAGTTTGCTCTTCGCAGTATCACATACGAACATGCAATGTTTTACCATGTGCCGGCCATATTAGTACCAGTGATTGTTGCTGACTTACAAGATACTTCGTCGTCACCGGATGACTTTAAGCCTGATCCTCAGCTTAAAGATGCAGTCGTGCAACGAACCACCATTTCTGAGCACAAGCGTCTGCTACAATTGGCTAGCTGTCAATCACTTGACGGACACACTCCATACCAGTTCCTCAGACGTCTTCACGCCGTACCAGACGATCGCAAACTGAATGACGCGTTGTGTAACCAGCAGCTACAGGCATTCTAGTTCCTTGACGCAACTCGCCAGTAACGCTAACAGGATCCTAAAACTACAGTCTGGCACATCTGGGATCCATGCCGCTGAAACACACAGTATGCGAAACTTGATTAACAACTGTATGAACGATTTGCCTAAGCAGATAGCCAAACTTCGGTTAAGTCGATTTATACGACATCGTTCTTCTGGTACTATTTCGTGTAATCGAATGAGAAGCCCTTCTTCATCGCACACTTCAACTACTTGTTGGTGTCATAGTCGTTTCGGGCATTCGGCCCGTAAATGCAGCCGCGAAAATTCCCGCTGTCGGAAAACGAACAGGCCAGACGATAAACGCGAGCACCGTTCTTGGCCAATAGCAATCTAACTATAGCCGACCCGTTCTAGATCTAACCACCAGTTTCCATTTTCTTATCGA